CTTAATAGTAACCGGGATCTGATGGTCCGTTAGGACAGTAGCAAATGCTCTGTATGTCAACGCTAAACTGCGAAAAAAGACATTTTATCATAGAGAGCATGTTTGATTGCATCCCTTACTTAGAGAACTCACCTCCTCATTCGGAGGAGTTCGTGCTAAGAATGTCGCCCGGAATGGAGTCAGGGTCTAGTAAGAAGGTAGCAGGTTCCAGAGTAGGACAATTGGAATGGGTGTGCCGAGTGTAAACACCGATAATGCGAGGAGGAGATGGTGCACTCATGTAACCAGGACTCGTCGAATGGTGCACTCACTAGAAGAGGGGAATCCTCAGTGGCAGGAAAAATGGGAGGAAAATCCATAGGAGTAGGATAAGGGAAAGTTTCTAAGAACCCAAGCCACCCTCACTTAGGGCGGAGCAAGGAAAATAGGGAATACATTCAAAGAAAGAGACATCAACACTCACATAAATTTTGTTAGAGGTAGGATCAAGGCATTGGTCCCCTTTTGAGTGGTAGAGTATCCAAAGAAGATACATTTTATGGATCTGGGATGGTAGGATCAAGGCATTGGTCCCCTTTCGAGTGGTAGAGTATCCAAAGAAGATACATTTTATGAATCTGGGATTAAATTTACTCCGTTTGAGAGCAGTGTTCCAAATAAAAGCAGTGCACCCAAAAATCTTGAGGTGTAAGGTGGAGAAGACTCGATTGCCAGAGAAGAATAACTTAGTCTTTAAAGCATGTTCCCAACTCGGGACATATTGGATAACCCAAAACCTTGGTGAGCCTCAAAGAAAAATAGGTGGGTCTTACAAGTAACATGAAGAAAAAAATAGCGACCAGAAGCAACAAGGCAATAAAAATGCTCCAATAACCAATCTACAAGAGCCACTAGGCATATAGCATAATCAATATACAAAGAGTAAAGCCCAGCCAAAAATAAGGCACTTGGCTAGGACTTGCTTCTTTTTTTTTTTTTTGTAAGAAAATATTAACTATAACATTGCTTGAATTATAGAGCACATAAGTCTGTAAATTTAAAGCAAAATTATGAGTAGAAATTCTTTCTATTTTCATGTGTGGTAATCGATCCATATTAAATTGGCAAGATCCAATAAACAAAACAGCTAAGTAAAATAAATGCAACTTTAGGACCAAAATGACACTGGTACCAAACTTGATAAATGTTTAACTAGGACTTTCTTTCCTTTTGTTCTCACACTACAGAAAAAATCTTCAAGTGCACGCTTCTAAAAAACAATCAACTGTTGGATGCACAATGCTAATGCCAGGCAATCCATAAATTATCTATAGGTCATCCATGTTTCACAATACTAAAAACAACAGATGGACTAATAATAAAATTAACCCATAGAGGCAGCTATCCAGTCAACTTCTCTACATTATTAGGTCAAACTAGTTCCTTTTAATGTAAATATCCTGATGTCATTCACTCAAATTGAATTGCTAAATTCGCACAAGCTATATGAAATCCAAAAGAGTAAACAAGACATCAAATTACAAATATCATTCATAATAAAATAGTGCAAACGCCATCAGAACACTAAAAACACCAAAGATCCCATAAGAGAATAAGTGCCCTCACCTCCCACGATAGAGCATGAGGTCGTCTGTGATCAGTTTTTAAACTTGCTCCTGTTACATCTTTTGATGATTGGGAAGCAAATCTCTTGGTTTCAAAATGATCCACTCTACATTTTAATTCTCTGAAATCAGATATGGCTTCTTCGAGAACAAGAACAGCCTCATTCATCTGTTCAATGTCACATTCTAATTCACAAAGAAGATAGAGCTCATCAACTGCTCTAATCAAATTTTCGAAAAGGAAGCACCAAAGCCTCTCCCTAAACCTTTCTTTACCCTCGCTATGTTCATCTTCTCCTTGATCAGGTTCATCAATCAAAACATCTTCATTGGCAGTAGAAGCATCAAAAGAAACTTTAACACCGTCACTTATGCTCTCTGGCAAATCATGTGAACTAGTCTTCGCCACAGCAATTTCGTTAATAACAGATTCTTCTGAGAAGCTAACGTTTCTGCCCACAGATTTGTCAGGAGATTCTTCAGCAGTCATTTCTATTACACCTCCTACAAGGGAAGCTAGAGACGGAGAACCCACAACCAGATCTTCAGAAATCAAGTCATTCGGAGCTTCATTTTGCTCGTCGGTAACATCATGTATTTCTTTCAGATTCTCTTTTAATTCAGTCTCTATTATGTTCTTGTATTCAGAAGAATCCTCACTAACCTCCCTCCACGTCCCTGAAAAAAATTTTTCGGGGGCATCAAAAGAGAGTATTAAGTCAGAAACATGCTCAAAATTTTCTGATTTAGCATTTTCCTCTGCAACATCTATAGTGGAGGAAGCAAGCACAACTGTTTTAGCAGCTAGAGCAAGATCCTGCTGTTTCTGTTCATCGCAACTTGCAAAATGTGCATTTTCAGCATCATCCATTGTTTTACCTGAATCTCCAGATACTGACACTGTGAAAGAAACATCCTCAATATCACCCCACTTGATTTTGGGAATTTCATCCAAGTTTTTGTGTAGTAGAACCGCTGTGGTTGCATTCAATGCAACAGTCGAGTCTGTAAATTTCAGCGAATGATCAATATGTTGGCCGCCAACAACTTCATCAAGACAAACTAAAGTTTCCACTGCTGCTGGTGATGATAAACCTGAAGTATTAACCGAAACAATTGAATCAGGATTGAGCCCGGTTCTTACTTTCGAACATTCAGCCTGCTGCACCGTCGGAAATTTTACAATTTTAGCATTTCTCGAAGGCAGATAGTTCCAAGAATGGCCTTTGTTGGAAGATCCTCCAGAAACCTTTTGGATGGAAAGCTTCGAGCCAATTCGGTGCTTCTACGAAAATAAAGTACCAAGACGCATAAGAAATCAGATCCAAAAAGCAAGCCCAACCCTAAAATTTCACATCCAAATAATAATAATAATAATAATTCTTAAACTTGCTATAAGAACAATGTTTTCAATGAATTCCTAGCCATGTTCATTAAGAGAGGGATGCAAAAAAACATGCAAATATTTCGTTGTGCGCCTTAATGAAAGCATTTCTCACACATAACTACAATACCACAATAGTTCACTTATGAAATTGGCAGCAACCTGTTAATCATCAAAACAAGCAGAAATCCAGCATTTGTTATACCGTGACTCCTCCTTATTAAGTTTAATAGAATTTACGTTGAAGAAATTCCAATTCACCCGATAATCAAAACTCCAGAAGCCAAAACGAAAGATAAACGGACAAAACAGATGAATAAGTGAAAACAATTTGTCACCTTTCTCACTTCAAACCATCCGGAACCCTGATCATCCGCAGTTCCCGCCTCGCCATCCATCAGCAGAAGCTGCACCCCGCTATATGAAATTTACCACGAAACCATTACAAAACTCAAAACCCATCCCATCATTAAGTTCCCGATGATCAAGAAACAAGCAGAAATCTTTGAAATCTGAAGTACATTCCGTCAATCTGAGAAAGAAGAGACCTCTCTCCTTCTTCCGCCGTAGAGAACACAATCGAACAAAAACCGATTGATCGCGAATCCATGGTTGAATTTCAAAAATAAAATCCAAAATACCTGAATATTACCGAAAGTACCGACTAAGATCAATTGAATCATCAGATCTCCTGAATCAAATCCGTTGAACTCAAAAAGGAAATTCACACTGGACTCAAATTAAAGACAGAAGTTTCCTTTTTGCCCCCCGAAAATTTTTCCACTGCAATTGGCCGCCATGAGCAGCAGTGGATACAAAGGAATGTCCGAAATACCCTTAGAATTAAAGATGCAGGCCCATTGACTAAGTAGGCCCGCCATGTATTTGTTGGGCCAATTTTGAAGCCCTTTGGATGTGTAGTCGGCCCATATTAGTCAGTATGCCCAATGTGCAATATGGAAGTTGCAAGGATTTAGCTTAAATTTTTTAAATTTAGTTCAATTTTATCCTTAAAATTGATTAAAACCTCTCTTCCCACAAATAGAACGAGACTGAAAATCCCAGCATTGTAGCATTCATTTTGATTTGAAGTATGAAATATATAAATATATTTGATTAATATATAAATATATCTGATTTTCAAATAATATTTTATTTTAGAACTAATTGAATGAAGTTAATTAATTGATTCTGCTAATGTATCTACCAATTACCTTGCAATAGAAACTAACCAAGAGCAACACAAAAAAATTAAATGCTAGCTTAAATAACACAGAATAAGAAAACAAGAATGTAACCAAGAACACCAGGATTACATGTTTCGGTTCATAAGACTTGCATCCACATGAAGGGAATAAACACCAATTCACTAAGGAAATCAATAAGGTTACACAGCTTTATCACTGAGAGATGAGCTCTCTTTTCATACTCTCTCTCTCTCATCAATCCGATACAAGATTCCTAAGATTCTCTCCTCAGTTTCATAAAACCTCTCATTATCTCACTTTAACGAACTATTTTCATTCCCCTTGAACCCTCTCAACATGCTTCCTTCATTATTTATAAATAATGAGTCTTCCCCAAGTAAATCGGTTCACCGATAAGAAGCCTTATTTCCTTCTTTAACAACAGTTGATAGAATTACAGTTATATCATTGCCTTAGTCCAATAATTGTGAGTCATCAAAACAATTATCCACCTTGACTCTCAATTACAAAACTACATACTGATGATTCCCTTCTCTCAGCCACAATGGGCTATTAAACTTTAGTAGAGTTCACTTAGTCCAGATAATGTCTGAACTTTGAGCATGTTAGTTTCAGAATGAACAACATTAGAAAAGTTACCAATCACAGTTCTTCTGATTTGTGAATATAGACCATTATTTCTAACTCCATTCATGACAATTAAAGAGCCATTGGTTACTCTAATATAACCACTTTCTTCCTTAAAAGAATACTCACTTGATTCCAACATACCTAAAGAAATCATATTCCTTTTCAGTTCTGGTATGTACCTAACATTTTACAGCATTCGTTCAGCTCCATCAAACATCCTTATCCTAATTGCCCCACTTCCAACAATCTTGCGAGCTTTGTTGTCTCCAAGTAGTACTAATCCACCGTTGACAAGTTGGCGTGTCTCAAACTAATCCTTATGAGGACACATATGGAAGGAGCAGCCTAAATTAAGAATTCACTCCTTGCTTGATTCAGACTCAGTAATTATCAAAGCATCAGCTGAATCGTAGTTATCAGAGGCTACACTTGTTTCTCCTGATTCTTTTGGTTTTTATTGATATTTTTCTTCTTGTCAGGACAATTTTTCTTGAAGTGGTCTTCCTTGTGGCATTGGTAACATTTGAAAGGTCCCTTTGATAACTGATTTTCACTCTTCTTTCCTTTTCTCGATCTTGATCTGTTTTACTGTTTCTTGAATCCTTATTATATGTTCTTCCTCTAACGGTAAAACCGTTTCCGCTGATTTCCTCATTCATGTCATGTTTCCTTTGAAGTTCCTTAGCTTTGATCAACGATTGGACCTCTTCTAGCGAAATTGTTTGGACCCTTCCTTTGAGCATTGCATCTTTGAAATGCTCATAACTCTTGGGAATGGAGTTTAACAACAACAACGCCTTATCCTCTTCTTCCATCTTGATGACGACATTTTCAACATCATTATGATCTTGTAAAACTCATCAATCTACTCTGAGATTGATTTTCCTTCATGCATCTTGAAGGAATACAAATGTTGCTTCAAGATCAATCTGTTGGTCAGCGATTTCGTTATGTAGAGCAGTTCAAGTTTAACCCAGAGTGTCTGAGCAGTTGTCTCCCTTGACATTTCCCTCAAAACTTTATCACCCAAACTCAGAATTATCATTCTATGAGCTTTATCCAAGATATTGTTCTTATCTTTCTCGGGCATCTCAGCAGGCAACGCAACTGATCCTTACAGTGCTTCCACAACACCCTGTTGTACAAGCAGAGTTCTCATCTTGACTCTCCACAAGCCAAAGTCATCCTTTCCTGTGAATTTTTTGATTTCGAACTTGGCAGATCCCATCGTCGTGGCTGACTCAGAATTATCATACTATGAGCTTTATCCAAGATGATGTTCTTATCTTCCTCGGGCATCTCAGCAGGCAAAGCAATTGGTCCCTGCAGTGCTTCCACAACGCCCTGTTGTACAAGCAGGGTTCTTGACTCTCCACAAGCCAAAGCCATCCTTTCCTGTGAATTTTTCGATTTCAAACTTGGCAGATCCCATCGTAGTGGTCTAGTTTCCCACAGACGGTGTCACTGTTAGAATTGTTATGATGACACTCAATTACGTGAACTAAGACGAGGTCTCATTTTATAAGGAGGTTTTCTTAGCTAATGGGTACAACGGTCATTTAGCTATGAGAAGTGTTTAACAGCTCATCTTGTATGAGTCATTGTCTATATATATGTAATGATGTATATGGGTTATGTGAGGAGAGAGAAATTCTGAGAGCAAGATGAGGAACCGAGAAAGATTATATCGAAATCGAGATCGATAGAGAGCGAGAGGAGATTGGTTCGTCCTTGAAATTGTGCAGGGTAATCTTCAAGATTGTCTTAGTGAATTGTTTCTTGATTCTTTCCCGTGGATATAAGTCTTACGGACCGAACCACATAAGATCTCGGTGTTCTTGTTTGCATTTTTCTTTGTGATTTTTTATTTTTCCTGTTTTGTCGTTTTGCAGCTCTCTTGGCAGCAGATTCTGCTACAATTGGTGTTGTCTGTGGGAATTCTAGCCACGACAATGTGATCTGGTAAGTTTGATATCGAGAAATTCACCCAAAAAGAATAACTTCGGGTTGTGGAGATAATCCCTTTTATGGAGATTTATAATTAAGAGTGAAGATGGAGAATTGTTACGATGACTCTCAATTACGTGAACTAAAGACCATGCTGCAGTTTATAAGGAGGTTTTCTATAGCTAATGGGTACAACGATCATTTGGCTATGAGAAGTGTTTAATCGATCATCTTGTAAGAGTCGTTATCTACATATATGTAATTGACGTATATGGGTTATGTGAGGAGAGAAAAATTCTAAGAGCAATGTGAGTAACCAAGAAAGCTATAGGAGATTGGTTTGTTCTTCAAATTGTGCGGTGTAATGTTCAAGATTGTCTTAGTGAATTGTTTTTTTATTCCCTCCCGTAGATGTAGGTTTTATGGACCGAACCACGTAAGATCTCAATGTTCTTGTTTTCATTTTCTGTGGTTTTTTCTTTTCCCGTTGTGTCGTCCTGCGGTTCTCTTGAGTGCAGATTTTGCTACAAATTTGATTTGATTTTATAATAATAATTAAATTTTTTTAAGGATAAAGAAAGGAGAAACAAAATTTTAACTCCGATATAAAATCAAAATTACATGTCGGTTACGTTTGGATTGATTTTTGCAAAAGCTTAATTGATTCGATTTTTTAATATTTCGGATTTCATTTTCATTACCGATTTATCTAAATTAATTATTAGCACGTCCCTTAATCAAACTTTACGGTCTAATCACAAAAAGAAAAATTCCTAATATAGTTTAATTTATTTAATTTAAGTTTTATTTAATCAAATATAATAAAAAATTAATCAAATTATTTAACCAAATTTAATAAAAATTTTAAAAAATAAATCCATTTTGTTAATGCAAAGATCAAAATCAAATTAAAACATTAAAAAAAAAGTGAAATCAAACCTAACAAAAAATGAATAGTTCTGATAAAATTTCAAATCAAATTCAAACATTTCTACTAAAATTCATTCATTTTTAACAAAAAAAAAAAAAATCAATTAATTTCTAAAATAACAACCAACATTTCATTAAAATCCTCTCATTAAATCCCATTAAATCAACAAAACTGAAAACTTTTGCATAACAGAAATCAAAATCAAAACCATGTTTCAGAAATTTGATCTTAAATAATATTGTATTTGAAGATCATAATACAAACTATGTTTCAACTGAATTATTCTTGCAAAATACAATACCTGTAGGTAACAACAGAACTCCCCAAAAAAAAATTATCTGCTTAGTAATACAGCTCTTGGGTCTCAGTCGATTGCTGCTTATCTGAGGAAGAACCTGCTTCCATGCTTCTGAAAACCAGCTTTTGCTGGGGAAGTTGGCCATTAGAGATGGCAGTGAGTTCTGTGTCAACTTCTATAATTTCTTCATCTCTAAAGTCTCCTCTGAGGATACCCTTAGCCAATTCATTCTCCACATTCTGCTGGATCACACGCTTCACTGGCCTGGCACCATAATTAGGGTCATATCCGAGTTTACCTAGCAGAATGACCGCTGCATCGGTGACTCGAATCTTGATTTTTCGGTCAGCGAGTCGATTCTGGACTCGTTCCAACTGCAAATAAACGGGAAAACAATCTTTTTTACATAATATCATCACAAGCTCTTCTAAGTTTCAAGTCCAAAACAGCAACCTATTGAGCAGAAAATTTTCAAACAAAGCATAGAAGTTCGATGTTTTCCTATACTTAAAGTTTATTTGTTTAGGGGTATTTACATACATACCACCCAATTCCTATGTATTTACATGTCAAACAACAGAAGTTTCATCTTTTTAACATGTAAAAGGTGAAATACACATTTTCAGGCAGCATAGGTCAGATGGCATGTATATGAAATGTGAAGTTAAACAAAATTTTCAAAAAAAAAAAAAGGGGTGAAATTTATTTATAAACTAAATCTGAAAGCAGGCAGCATAGGTCAGATGGCATGTATATAAAATGTGAAGTTAAACAAAAAAAAAAGGGGGTGAAATTTATTTATAAACTAAATCTGAAAGCAGCCTGTTAACTTTCAACCAAGCATACAAGAGGCATCATCTAGACCATTAGTGTATAAGCAGCAAATAAAAGAAACGGAATATCGCATACATACCGTACAATTCTTATGTATTTACATATCTAACACCCATACAACTTTCAACCAAGCATACAAGAGGCATCATCTAAACCATTAGTGTATAAGCAACAAATAAAAGAAAGGGAATATCGCATACATACCGTACAATTCTTATGTAAATACATATCTAACACCCATAATTTGATATTTACACCCACCTTTGTGTCATAAACTTACTCATGAAAACGTGTAATTCATTTTTAAAAATAAAGTGATGGTGGAATTTTTGAAGTTATCTAAAAGATTTGAGTGTTATGCATGTAAATACGAATGTTCAGGTATTAGATATGTAAATACATAAGAATTGTATGGTACGTATATAAATGCCTCGTAAAGAAAACATGAACAAAGTTAAAAAATCTGCACCTGCAACCTCACAATACTGTTAATTTTCTGTCGATCCAAAGGATGGAAAACAATATACTCATCAACACGATTCATGAACTCCGGACGAAAAATGGCATGGGCTGCCTCCATAACTCTCTGCTTGATGGACTCATAAGCAGAAACACCTGAACCCATTTCGTCATTCAAATTTAATATGTATTGTGAGCCCACATTCGACGTCATTATAATCACCGTATTTGTGAAGCTCGCTCTTCGCCCCAGTGAATCAGGCACCCTACCATCATCGAGTATCTGAAGAAAGACATTGAACAAGTTAGAATGGGCCTTCTCAATCTCATCGAACAATATGACGGCATAAGGCCTCCTTCTAACAGTTTCCATCAGCTGCCCGCCTTCTTCGTATCCAACATAGCCCGGCGGCGCTCCAATCAAACGAGAAACTGCATGCTTTTCCATGTACTCACTCATGTCGATTCTCACGAGAGCTTCTTCAGTGTTGAACATGTACGAAGCGAGAGCTTTAGCAAGTTCTGTCTTCCCGACTCCGGTGGGGCCCATGAACATGAAGCTTGCAATTGGACGTTGAGGATCAGAAAGGCCGATTCTCGATCTTTGAATAGCTTCTGCAACTGCTCGAACAGCATGATCTTGACCGACAACACGTTTGTGTAGTTCTTCCTCCAAATGAAGGAGCTTTTCTCTTTCGGACTGCTGCAATTTGGAAACCGGAATGCCTGTCCATTTGCTAACTATTTCAGCGATGTCGTTGCCAGTAACCTCTTCCCTGAGCATTGATTTCCCCGAACTCTGATATTCATTTAATTCCTTTTCAGTTTCCTGAAGTTGACGCTGCAAACTATTCAGGCTTCCATATTTCAATTCGGCTGCACGATTTTAGTCATTGTCGCGCTCTGCCTCTTGAATTTCTATGTTCACCCTATCGATCTGCAAACAAAGAGGTAACAAAATAGATTAAAAAAAAAAACAGGAGAAAAATATTAAATGGTCCCTCGACTCTTTATAGGGCGGCATTTAGTTATAGTCCCTAGACACTTTAAAGAGGGGGAATAGGCAGACCAAATACGACCATATGTGTTTAAGAAATTAAACTCGCCTCTTCCTTGATGGATTCAATACATGTCGTCGCTGATTTCTCGTGCTCCCATTGTTCGGAAAGCTCAGCCTGCCTTTTTTTCAAGAGTGAAAACTTTGCATCAAGACGAGCCAGTCTCTCTTTTGAAGCTTTGTCTGTATCATTAGTTAGAGAGAGACGCTCCATCTCTAATTTAATTACTGAACGATTGATCTCATCTAAAGCAGTTGGCTTGGATGTGATTTCCACTTTTAACTTGGCAGCTGCCTCATCAACTAAATCAATAGCTGCATGACAATCAAATTAAGAAAACTGGAATCAAATAGGAAAGACATCTTTAAAATTTTGATGATGTTCTACCTTTATCAGGCAAGAACCGACCACTGATATAACGATCTGAAAGAATGGCAGCATCCACCAGTGCACTATCGTTGATGCGAACTCCATGGTGAAGCTCATACCTTTTGCGCAGTCCGCGGAGTATGGAGATGGTGTCTTCAACCGTAGGCTGATCAACATAAACTTGTTGGAAGTGGCGTTCCAAAGCTGGGTCCTTCTCAAAATATTTGCGGTATTCATCAAAGGCAGTTGCACCAATACAATGCAACTTGCCGCGGCCTAACATTGGCTTCAATAGGTTTCCAGCATCCATGGCGCCATATCTGGCACCTGGACATAAGATTTAAATGCAATTCAAAATGCTGAAAATTAGGGCCAAGACTGTAATCATAGAATTGTAAAGATACCAAATAGTTCAGTGAAAGAAATATTTTTCTAATTACATCGGCACAAGTTCTAAAAGATGGTGCTTCCCATTAACATCCTTAAGTAGTTATCTATGGAAGGTGACAGAGGAAACAACATTACAAGTACTGTCTAGACTGGACTTCTATGTTGAAGAAAGTACTGTGCATGAGAATTCTACTCAAGCTTTGAAATTCAAAATAACATGATGTATAAAGTACCTGCTCCAACAACAGTATGGATCTCATCAATAAAAAGGATTGTTTGTCCATCTGAGTCCATCACTTCCTTCAAGACAGCATTCAGTCTATCTTCAAACTCACCTCGGTACATTCTCCCAGCAACTAGAGCACCCATATCAAGAGATATCAGCTGCAAAATATTGAAAAGATTCAGACATAACAAGAGAGAAGAATTCCAATGGTGCCTGCTAACTGGTGTGTGTGTATGTGCGCGCGCGCGCGCGCGTCTTCTTCCTTCCCCCTAGGCTCTGCTAGGGTTGAATTCCAATGGTGCCTGCTAACTGGTGTGTGTGTGTGTGCGCGCGCGCGCGTGTGTGTGTCGATGGCGTCTTCTTCCTTCCCCCTAGGCTCTGCTAGGGTTTCGCCCTATGGCTAACCCTAGCAACAGTTACGGCTTCGCTCGGCTTCGCTCGTCTTCGCGCTCGATTCCTTTCGTCGTCTTCTTCTCCGGCTCTGAGACGTTACGGCTTTGCACGCTCGTTTCCATTCATCTTCCCTGCTTCCGGCTCTGAGACGCGTCTCCTCGCATCTTCGCTCTGCGGCCCGTCTCTCCTCACTCTGCGGCTCCTCTCACGTTTTTCCTTGCATTGCAGCTCCCTCTCACGGGTACAACTCGCGATTTCTGCGGCTTCTCTACGCCCGTCCCGTCTCACAGCGTCCTCTCTTCTTTCTTTCGAAGCTTTTTCCCCTCATTGAGCAGGGCTGCTTTCTTCTCTGAAGGCCGCACGACAGATCGTATGCAGCTGTCACACACCTAAATCGCCATCTTTCCCTCCTTCGTTTGAGTAGGCGGAGGACATCAAGAAACATGTTAGGAAGAATGTGAAGTCTGCCATATTTTTTACAGAAGCTGAAGGTGTTCAACTTGCTTCCTCTTGTCGTTTAAATTTGGTTGGAAAATTTCTATATGGTCATCCCAAAATGGAGCTCATTCGCATAGAATTTGAACTTAGGCACCTCGTTAGAGAGTGGAAAATTAGACTATTAGATGAGAAGCATATTCTCATTCAAATTAGTAATGAAGATGATTACATACGCTTATTCGCTAGAAGGATAATATAGATGGATAATAAAACTATGAAGATTCTGAAATGGTCTTCGAATTTTGACCCACAGACGGAACCGCCAATCATTCCGGTTTAGATTCGCCTCCCTGGTTTGAAATTTTATTATTTTTCTCAAAAAGTATTCATTCAAGGCAGACATTCTTACTTTTAATCTTTTTTGTCCATCTGAAGTCAGATACTTGTTGAAAGAGACATCTCTTTACCCGTTTCTGAGGAAATCTGGTTGGGCACACAACACCAAGGATATTGGCAGAAGGTAGAGATTGAGCCTTGTTGACCTCATTTTTAAGGTCATTACCTTTTCCTAGGATCCTAGAATTTAGCTCTAGGAGTTCTTATTTACTATTTTAGAAAACTAGAATTGATACTCACCTTTTTTAGAAATTCCAAAAAAAAAAAACACTTCTTATTTTTCCTGTGATGTCTAACATTTATGGCCCAAAACCATCGTCTTGTGTGCGAGCAGGTTAAGGGCTATTATGTGAAAACTCAAGGAGAAGTTTCCAATAGGATTTCAAGCAGTAGGAAAACATCGTCACAACTTTTTCGTCACATACACACACCAAATGCACAAAATTCACAAACTTGCACGAGGTCGGTCTTCAATTGAACCTAAAAGACGGGAGAAAATGCGAACTTCTCCGGACAACCACCGACGACAAAATGGACTGCGCCAACGCGTCCGCGATATCAATTTTAATAAAAAAGACACTCATATTATCATATTTTCGACATGAGAAAATTGACACGTAAATCGATGAATTCGTCAAAATGATCTCCGACGGCGAAACGGACCACGCCAGCGCGTCCAGAACGTTAGAATTACTTAAAAATGATACTAATTTTGTTATGTTTCAATGCACGCATAAAACACAAATTAATTTTTTATTTTTCAAAATATTAAATATTTTTCTTTTATAAAAATATTCTTAAATTATATTGTATTAAACCTAAATCCTATTTACACCTCTACCCTCGCTTAAACCCGAATTTGGCCTTGCATTCAGCTCGATCCCGCGACTTGTCTCCCTCTCCTCCGTGTGCCCTAGATCCACGATGGATCCACTCGGCTCACCTTGCTGTTCTTGCTCGCGACTCATCTCCTCGAGCTTCCCTTTGGCATTTCGGCTCTCCAATCTCAAGGAGAAGAGCTGGCCGACGCTTCTCCTCCTCGAGGTTGTACGCTCTCCTCTTTATTGTGTCGATTCCATCCCTCTTGTTCAATTCGGCCATGGAACGGTGGTTGGTGGTTTCTTCTCTTCTCCTCTCCGCCTATAAAATGTTTTCCTAGTCTACTGTGTTGGGTTGTTGAAATTTTTGAGAGAGATTGGAAGGGTGTGTTTCTTCTGTCTTTCTCCTTGACTAAGAAAAAAAAAAAGAAAATGAGGGTTTCTTTTGAGAGATGGGAGATTTTGGAAGGGCTTGGTGTTTTCGGTCTCTATTCTTCGCTATTAAGAAATTTACCTCCTTCTGTATTCTTGCTCGAGAGGAGATCTTTTTCCCCTCTGTTGTTCGAGGGTTTCAAGGTTTGGATTTGTGAAACCGTGAGCTGGAAATCGTGATGAGTATTTGTAGGCTATTGTTGGAGTGGTTTTCTCAAATCTAACTTATTCTCTCTTTGCTTTAAGTTTGCATAAAAAAGAGGTATTCTTCTCCTCTCCTCTATTTT